GCCGATAATCAAAAAAGAGCACCAGCATGGACCGTACGGGAGGTACTGGATCTGATCGCTATATGGGGAGAGGATTCAGTGCTAGCCAAACTACGTTCGAAAAGACGAAATGCCAAAACTTTTGAAAAAATCTCCAAGGGCATGATAGAGAGGGGCCACAATAGGGACTCAGAGCAGTGCCGCGTGAAAGTCAAGGAGCTCAGACAAGCCTATCAGAAAACAAAGGAGGCAAACGGTCGCTCCGGGTCAGAGCCGCAGACATGCCGCTTCTATTCTGAGCTGCATGCAATTCTAGGGGGGGCCGCCACCACTACCCCACCTTTGACCGTGGATTCCGAAGCGGGGGTAATCTCATCAGCCACACCTGAGGATTCTGCGGACGGCGAAGAGGAGGACGAGCTAGCGGAGAGCACACAGCACTCCGTTCTCCCCAACAGCCAGGATCTTTTTCTCAGTCTGACTGAAGTACCCTCCCAAGCCAGTACCCAAGACCATGACCCCATGGAAGGGACCTCAGGTGAGTTTACCTTTTAAAATATAAAACATGGTTTAAAAGCAAGCATTTTTTAATGATTAATTTGCCCTGGGGACTTGGGATGCATTCGCGGCCAGTACAGCTACTGGAAAAGTCTGTTAACGTGTCTGGGGATGGAGCGGAAATCCTCCAGGGACATCTCCATGAAGCTCTCCTGGAGGTACTCCAAAAGCCTTTGCAGAAGGTTTCTGGACAGTGCAGCCTTATTCCGTCCTCCATGGTAGGACACTTGACCACGCCATGCTAGTAGCAAGTAATCTGGTATTCTTGCATGACAAAGCCTGGCAGCGTATGGTCCTGGTGTTTGCTGGCATTCAAGCAACATCCATTCTTTATCTCGCTGTGTAATCCTCAGGAGAGTGATATCGCTCATGGTAACCTGGTTGAAATATGGGAATTTAATTAAGGGGACAGAGGTGGCCCTTCCTACTGGGCTGTTTGCCTGTGGCTGAAAAGAAATCCTTCCCTGTAGTAAGCCAAGCACGGGGGGCGGGGGGGGATTGGCGCTGAGCTTTTCACGTGTGGCTAGCAGGGATCTTCCCTGATACCAGCCACACGGTGGGGGAAGGGATAAAGCGATCATCCCAGAGAATTGGATGGGGGGGGGTTAGTTTGTTTTCTGCTGCTGAAGGTTAACAGGAAAACCGCAGCACTCAATGAGCTTTGCTTGGTATGTGGGAAAGGAGGGCGCAGAAGCCAAAAGACAATGGCTTACCATGGCCGCATGCAAGCCGAATTCTGTTGTCCGGACCTGCGTCTGTGATCTCTAGCAGCAAAGCCACAGGCACTCAATATTAAGAGACAAAATGCGACCTTGCACAGAAATCACATGTGCTATGTAATGTGAATAGTGTTGTTCACCGTGAAAGAGTATAAGCATTGTTCTGTAAAATGTATCTTTTTAAAAAAAATTTCTCCTTTTTTCCCTCCCTCCAGCAGCTGCACATTTTTCAAGCCTCCCTCCTCTGTCCTGAAGGCTATCTCAGATAAGGCGTCAGAAAAAGAGGACGCGAGACGAGATGTTCGCGGAAATCATGGAATCCACCCGCAATGAAAGAGCTCATCTGAATGAGTGGAAGGACATAGTTTCAAAGTATAGGAAAGATGCCAGTGAACGTGAGGACATGAGGGACCAACGTGAGGACAGAAGGGACCAACGTGAGGAGAGGAGAGACGCTCGAGATGAGAGGTGGCGGCAGGAAGATCAGAGGAGGCAGGATGCAACTCTGGGGCTGCTGCGTGAGCAAACAGACATGCTCCGGCGTCTGGTGGAGCTTCAGGAACGGCAGCAGGATCACAGACTGCCGCTGCAGCCCCTGTATAACCACCCTCCCCCCTCACCATGTTCCATAGCCTCCTCACCCAGACGTGTAAGAACGCGGGGGGGGGGAGGCTCCGTGCACCCTCCCATTCCACCCCAGTGGACAGCCCAAGCAAAAGGCTGTCATTATTTTAACCTTTTTTTAGTGGCCTTTTCCTTCCCTCCAATCCTCCTCCCAAACCCCACCCGGGCTACCTTCTCAGTTCTCTCCCTCTTTTTATAATCAATAAAGAATGCATGATTTTTAAACGACAGTGACTTTATTTCCTTTGAAAGCAAGCTGTGATCGAAGGGGGAGGGTGGGTTGCCTACAGAGAATGAGTCAATAAAGGGGGCGGGTTTTCATCAAGGAGAAACAAACAGAACTTTCACACAGTAGCCTGGCCAGTCATGAAACTGGTTTTCAAAGCTTCTCTGATGCACCACGCTTCCTGGTGTGCTCTTCTAATCGCCCTGGTGTCTGGCTGCGCGTAATCAGCAGCCAGGCGATTTGCCTCAGCCTCTCACCCCGCCATAAAGGTCTCCTCCTTACTCTCACAGAGATTGTGGAGCACACAGCAAGCAGCAATAACAATGGGGATATTGGTTTGGCTGAGGTCTGAGCGAGACAGTAAAGTGCGCCAACGACCTTTTAAATGGCCAAATGCACATTCCACCACCATTCTGCACTTGCTCAGCCTGTAGTTGAACAGCTCCTGACTACTGTCCAGGCTGCCTGTGTATGGCTTCATGAGCCATGGCATTAAGGGGTAGGCTGGGTCCCCAAGGATAACTATAGGCATTTCAACATCCCCAATGGTTATTTTCTGGTCCAGGAAGTAAGTCCCTTGCTGCAGCCATTTAAACAGAGTAGTGATCCTGAAGACACGAGCGTCATGAACCCTTCCCAGCCAGCCCACGTTGATGTTGGTGAAACGTCCCCTGTGATCCACCAGTGCTTGCAGCACCATTGAAAAGTTACCCTTGCAGTTTATGTACTGGGTACCCTGGTGCTCCGGTGCCAAGATAGGTATATGGGTTCCATCTATCGCTCCTCCACAGTTAGGGAATCCCATTGCAGCAAAGCCATCCACTATGGCCTGCACATTTCCCAGAGTCACTACCTTTCGTAGCAGCAGCTCAATGATTGCTTTGGCTACTTGCATGACAGCAGCCTCCACAGTAGATTTGCCCACTCCAAATTGATTCCCGACTGACTGGTAGCTGTCTGGCGTTGCAAGCTTCCACAGGGCTATCGCCACTCACTTCTCAACTGTGAGGGCTGCTCTCATCTTGGTATTCTGGCGCTTCAGGGCAGGGGAAAGCAAGTCACAAAGTTCCATGAAAGTGCCCTTACGCATGCGAAAGTTTCGCAGCCACTGGGAATCGTCCCACACCTGCAACACTATGCGGTCCCACCAGTCTGTGCTTGTTTCCCGGGCCCAGAATCGGCGTTCCATGGATAGAACATGCCCCATCAACAACATGATCTCCAAAGCGCCGGGACCCGTGGTTTGAGAGAAGTCTGTGTCCGTGTCCATGTCCTCATCACTCTCGTCACCGTGCTGCCATCGCCGCCTCCTCCTTGCCTCATTTTTCTGGTCCTGGTTCAGCATAAACTGCACGATAATGCGTGAGGTGTTTACAATGTTCATTACTGCTGTCTTGACCTGAGTGGGCTCCATGCTTGCTGTGGTATGGCGTCTGCTGTGTTCACCCAGGAAAAAAGGCGCGAAACGGTTATCTGCCATTGCTTTCATGGAGGGAGGGATGAGGCTGTACCCAGAACAACCTGCGACAATGTTTTTTGCCCCATCAGGCACTGGGATCTCAACCCAGAATTCCAATGGGTGGGGGAGACTGCGGGAACTATGGGATAGCTATGGGATAACTACCCACAGTGCAATGCTCCGGAAATCGACGCTAGCCCCGGTACATGGACGCACACCGCCAAATTAATGTGCTTACTGTGTCCGCATACATTCGACTTTATACAATCCATTTCCAAAATTTGAATTCTGTAAATTTGGATTAATCCCGTAGTGTAGACATACCCTTAGTTTCTTCTGCCTTGAAGAGACACTTAAACCCTTATCTGATAATCAACTGACACTAATAGGATCCAATTGTCTGACATCAGGGTGAGTCAGCAGAAGAGATTCATCTCTTTATGCGCTGTCCTAGAACCTGAGATCAGGGTAATTCAGCAGAACTCTTCATCTTTTCTGAGGATCCTAGAACCAGACACTTTGTTCTAGTTTCACAGTATATCAAAGAGAAGCGCTGTTTACAATAATTTTATATATCTATACTTTAATATATTTATTTACCAGTTTGATTTATTTTTCTATTTTTTTTAGGATCCACATGGTTGATCTCTGTGCTTATATTCTGCTCTCTTGATATGTGCAGAGCACCCTTTAGGATGTCAGTGGGTGTTTCATATATTTAGACAGTGCAGACTACAGGAGATGACATTTGCCATGTGGACCTGAGAGGAGAAGTTTGCCCTAAGATAGTTCCTTTCATTAAGTTTTTCTTCCACTGCAGTAGTCACTTCTGTTTTAAAGGAAAATGAACCTCATTGATAATGTTCTGGAATAAAATTTGCCAGTGAATTACCTGGTTTTATCTGCATAGATATCACCATCAAACATTCAATCAATGATACAAAAAAGGGGTGTGTCTGTTCAAAGCAACATGAAAGATCCCAATCTAAGTTTCTCTAATGCAAGTTTCCATTATAAAGAACCCAGTTAAAAAGATTAATCACAGAGCACTTTCAAAATCATGGCATTCCAGATGTATAGATATTTGTGTAGTTGACATTGTTATTTACTATTGCAAATTTGTGGAGCAAAACAATTAGGGCTGTTTACAAATATGGTTAATTTTGAGAAGCCTCAACACACAAAAATGTGATCACAATGCTGTTTGGCAGAAATTTAGAAAAAAAATAGATATATAACCATGGCTATAATAAGAGCATACTGTTTTCATATATTAGAAAAAATAATTCCGTTATTTTTAATATTTAATTTAAAATACAATTTTACCTTTGAATTGATCTGTTTTAATGCTGATGGACAAAATGACTATGTTGTTAGGTACTTAATTATTACTAGAAATTGTGACTAATAAAGTCTTTTTTGTTTTTGTTTTTAGTTTGGTAGTCACAAAGGAAACAGACAGTGCAAGATCTCGTAGCATGCCAATGTCGCCATCTGATTTCCTGGATAAATTAATGGGTAGGATGTCAGGCTATGATGCAAGAATCAGACCAAATTTCAAAGGTAATTTTGAAAACTAATTCACTTTAATTTAACATTGTCTTTGATGTAAATGTGTGTTTTGGAGAAAATTTAAAAGCAAAACAAATGTACGCAGCCATGCTCAGCTAACCTTGACTTTGATCATTCAAATTTCAGCAAAAACATGGTCTACTGTTTGTTGAAGTGTGGGTAGATGCCAAAATGCTACTAAAGTTTAGTATTATTTTAATATTTTAGCATGATATGTATATAGTATAATTTAAAGAACTAAAAGGAACACATAAGATGTTCACAGCTACATATTTTTTTCATATTTTTGGTGTATGCTCATGAATCAAATAGGGATGTGCATGCATCTAAATAATTAGTACCAAAGTACTTCCTGTATGTCCATATAGGATACAGCATCTAGGACCACTGTAATACTAGTGCTAATGATAAAAAGCATACCATGTAGTTGGTGAATGCATTTAAAATAGAAAACATTAGGAGCTATACTCTTCCTGTCACTGACTGTACTTATGGCTTTCCAATAGTCTTCTGTCACCCTTTTAATAGGCTTCCAACAAGCTCTGTGACCCTCAATTTGCTTAGGTAGAATGTTGAAACTTTAGGGGGATTCTCAACTTTTCAGAGTTTAAGAATTCTAGATAAATTTATGAAACAATTTAAAAATATTTTAATCAAGTTAACCATTTGTACCTTCAGTAAAATAAAAGAATACTTTTCAAATACAGATTGTGTGTGGAGGGGAAAATCTCCTGCAAATAAAGCCCCTACTAGTGTTCCTTTGCATTAGTTTTTCCTCATCTGTGCCCTTCTTCCTATTTTCAGGAGGTGTTCTCTCCTCTCTTTTCAAGATATTTTCTGTAAATGAGGTTATCTCCACTTCTGCTACAGGCCTTTTCCAATCAAAAGCCAGGACTCCCTCCATGTTTACCTTCTCAGGACGTCTATCTCACCGCCCTTCTCAATCTCACCTCTTGTTTATCATTGCATTTTAAAATGTTTTTAATTTTACCAGTGCTCAGAAACTTGACTAGCTACATCTCTGAAGTTATAGGTACTGGGTGCTATTTATTTACTTTCCTTTGCCATGGTTTGTCCAATGAATCTGGTTGGCAAGAGGAGAATGAGTTGTCTGTCAAACTGCTTCCCAGTCAACCAATCTTAAAAAGATAGAACAGTAAATAAAACTAATCTCAAATGATTTACTTCTATCTGGAAACGTCAAGCTTGCAATAGGTGAGTAGAGGTGAAATTTCTCAGAATACGTTCCTGACACCTTAGTTTAAACAACAAATGTGTATAGAAAATATTCATCAAACAAATCACCACAAAAGATATGTATTATTTTGATCAATATACAATATTTGCTATGGCTATGAAACAAGTTCCTTAGAGATTGATTGATTGCCAGTTGCATGCCTCAGAGAATAGAAATTATTGGCTTCTTGCTTGGGGGAAAAAACCCTGGGTTTAAAACAGAACTTGCACAATAACAATAGATAAGTTCCATTTAAAAGATTACTTCCATGTGTGTGTGGAATCTTTCTATTTATTTACCTCCTTATTAAAGGTGTTCTCAACTATATACCATAGCTATTCCCTTTAGCATGTAAATTTCAAGTTTAATCTAACTCTTAGATTGCATTGCCTGGTCTTATTTGCCGGAGGTCCTCTTTTGTGCAGCACAGCTTTACTTTAGATCTAAGGTGAAGCTGTGCTGCACAAAAGAGGACCTCCGACAAATAAGACCAAGCAATGCAATCTCTTTCCTCCTTCTTTGAATCTTCTAAGGCTCCATGGGTGAGTATTGTGAAAAACTCAGGACAGACAACTGCAAGGGCGGGGTAAAAAACAGTCCCAGAAGGGTAAAAGGCCCTCCTCCCTATCAACTGAGGGGGGGTGACAACAGGTCAATTAGGATCAGCTGAGAGAGAGTTACCTGAGGTCAATTAGGATCAGCTGATTCCAACTAAGGGCTGCCTGAGACCTTTTTAAACCCTCCCCTGTTGGGGAGAGAGGGGGGAAGTTAAGCTGCCAGTAAGTGAGGAACAGCAAGACTCACCAGGAGGGGAGGCTGCATTCCCTCCGATAAGGGAGAAAAAACAAGCATAAAAGACTGGCTCTGTGCAGCCAAGAGGGACTGTTTTATCCCAAGCCTGTCTTGCCAAGGCTAAAAACAGCTGAGGGTGGTGAGACTGAGAAGATGCCTTGCCACAGTATATAAAAGCAAGGATCTTATGACTTAGCAATTCCTTTGGGGATTGGATTTTGTCATGGGCACCATGCAATCACAATCTTCTGAGGAGGCTACAGTGTGGAAGGGACAGATGTTTAGCAATTAGTGGATTCAGTACTGTGCTTCTTGAATATATAATTCAAAGGACTGGGAGACTTTTTTGGTAACCATCTGACTGTAAAGAGACAAAAACCTAATTCAACATTGATTTGCTGTTTCTTAAAAGTGTACTTTGTAAATTTTCTAGACAGCTATGCAATTTGAATAAATTTGCCAAGAAAGATTCAGATCTATTACTAAGAATAAATATCTCCTTAAACTGCTTTGCCACTTTCTTGCTATTATTATTCTAAGAACAAGTACGAACAAGTAGAACTTCATGACATTTGGACTTTGTAATTTATCAACAATTAAGATATGAAACATGTACTAATATGAAATCCCAGACTATCAACCCTGGTATAACTAGGAAATTGAATCTCTTTTTATTAAAATTCCTAGACACGGAAGATAATATATTCTTTGACTACCAACTGCATGTCATACTTAGTCTTCATAATTACACTTTTTGTTTCTGACTGCTTTGTGTTTGTGAAGTAATACACAAGATAATCATGTTTTTGTTCAATAGAAGAGAGGGATTAAGCAATATTTTCAAGGAGGTCCAATATTAGTTATAACTCTAAAATATGGAAATTCTGAAACATCTTTGGATGAGAATACAGGAGAAGAATCCCTGGTAAAAGTTTGTCCTAGTTATAGAATATTTAAGACTATCCCAAAATTAACCATAGGAAGTGCCTCACTCAATGAGAGGAGGAGAGGGACTCTTGCCTTTGGAGTCCATGTTATGTTTTTTCCACTCCTTCAGTTGTGGTGAAAAGCTCTAGATATGAATGCATTGCTGTCTTCCAAATCTGGGTCCAATCCTGAAGTCATTATCTATTCAAAGCTGTCAATGTCTGAATACAGAGTTTTCAACAAGTTAGGAGTTCAGGATCAGGCTCTCTGTCATGAACGGGGCTTTTGTACATAGGAATGTGAAGGGATGAGCTGTAGCTATTTCAGGAAGAATGTAATGGGTCATTGTAACCATGCCTCTGTGAGTCACAACTGAGAATAACAAATTCAGGACAAACTGCTGAGAAATAGGGCAGACACATCCCAAAACTGGTGGCTATTCTCCCATAAGATATACCAAACCAGCAACAAAAGTAAACTTCTGTTTTACCACACTGGCTAACAAGAAGTCAGAAAAACAGTTTCCCCTGGCATTCCAGTCCTTGTATCACCACCAAAAACACTAGACTTAAAGTTGAGTGGATCTTTAAAACCAATTTCATCAAATAAAAGGTTCTTCTGATCCCAAAAGACCAGCCACAAACCCAGGTCAATATACAACTCAGATCTTACCCAATAATCATGCTGTTGCCAATCTTTTAATAGCTAAATCTAAACTTTTATTTATGAAAAGAAAGAAAGAAAGAACGGTGAGAGTTAAAATTGGTTAAAGAAATCAAATACCTACAATAAATGCAAAGTTCTTGGATCGGGCTTGTAGCTGATGGAATACAGGGCCACCCAGAGGATTCAGGGGGCCTGGGGCAAAGCGGGGGAGCTGCAGCACTTGTACTCACCCGGCAGCGGTCCAGGTCTTCGGCAGCATTTTGGTGGCGTGGGGCACTTCAGTCGCTCCACGTCTTCAGCAGCACTGAAGGACCCGCCGCCAAAATGCCGCCGAAGACCCGGACTGCCGCCGGGCCAGAGCAAATTGCTCCACTTGTCCCCCCCTCTGGGCAGCCCTGATGGAATCAGGAAGGTCCTCAGTCCCTTGGTTAGAATGCTCCCATTAGTACAAGTTCATCATAGTCCAGAGGTTTGAGCAGGAAAGAGGCAAAATGGAGACTTTTTTTAGGGCCTTATTATTTCAAACAAAGCGCTCAACACAGCTAGTGGAAAATTACAGGTAGAAAGATGGTGTTTGGAGTCACATGGGCAAGTCACATGTCCATGCATGATTTTGCTTAGTCACAGCAGTTGTTCACATGAAAGTCCATCAGGCGTGGATGGGAGTCTTTCATGGTCCATTGTGAGTTAAGTGTCCCTTGATGGGCCACTTAACTTGAATAGTCCCTTCAAGATATGCAGGCTAAATACCTTGTGGGCCTTACCACAGGAGCAAACATATTTAAAATACAGGTATAGAGCCAATCCTCATAACTTCAAATATAAAAATGATACATGCATACAAATAGCATAATCATATTTAGCAAATTATAACTTTTCTAGTGACACCTTACTTGACACACTTTTGTATAAGATTTGTTGCAATTGTATAATAGTGGTAGCAACAATTATCTACATGGTTATATTTTAATCAGATAACGTTACAGTCATTACCTGCTTTATAATTTCCAACATCTCTGCTGATGATCGTGGAAAACTTCCAGTAGCATGATGCAAGATACATGATGCCTTACTTAATATAAAATTTAATACTGAATGATTTACTTTTAAAAGCTAACTATTTTTAAAAAACATCAGTCATAAGTTGTTTATTAGGTATTTCATCATAACACTGAGAAAGTATTGCTAAGATAGCCACTGAAGTGCAATAGAGGGCAACAATATTAAACTTTGGAAACACAGTATATGTTTAAGCATTAAAGCTAACTCTGATTTACAATATTAAAATCAATGTTTCCCTGTTTCTCAAAGCTGATATACTGTTCTGGAATACTTGGGTTAGTTATTCTTATCACTTGATGGTCAGGTGGGAACACTACACGAAAAGCACCTAAAGTTTTGACATAAAGGACACGTGGCCCCATTTTGTCATTCCTGAATTCTCCTGTTCTCCCTGCACCTCACTCTGAGTTAGTCATAGAAGCAAGCACTTCTTCTTCTTCAAGGTTAAACAAGATAAAATTAACTCTCTTAAATAATTTCATGTACCATCTAGTAAGATCCATACTCTTTTAACCCATCTGGCCTAATCATTTCTTAAATGGAAAGTGACACCACTTTGGATTTTGCTTTACTTAATTTACATTTTTAAAGTCTGTATGTTTTCTTCCATCTAAGAATAATCTGCTTGTTTTGCATCACAGAAGTGTCCCTACTTCCCATTTCTTCTGTGTGCATTGACAAAATACAGGAATACACTCCACATGCTATCAACCCCAACTTAGTTAAAATGTTATTTTTCTCTCACCTCTTATTTCCTACCTGTATCATTAACTTATCACATTAAGAAATTTAGATTCAGATCCTAATAAACTGAACTAAATAATCTAGGATCATTTAGGAAAGCAGGAACATGTGTTAACCTATGACTATAAAGGACATCCCCTATGTATATCAATCTCTTGGTTTCTATATTTGTTAGACAAATTATTATATTTAAATGTTTTGCTAATTTTTAATTATGGAACTGTGCATCTGATCCATAGTATTATTTTGTTGTTTTTCTTCAATAACTAATATGCCATTGGGTACACTATAACATTCCATTAGATTCTCTTTTGAAGTAGACAGCAGCATATTGAATTGGAAATGATAGAATGCACTGATATATAAAAAATGTGATGTATCTCTGAACTGGAATTTACTTGTGCACACACATTGGATAACTTCACTACTCAGTGGCAGCCATTAAGTGTGGTCCCCTGAAATCGCCTTCCCATTCCCTCCCACCAGGGGCGGCTCTATGTTTTTTGCGCCCCAAGCACGGCAGGCAGCTTTTGGCGCCTGAGGGCGGTCCGCTGGTCACGCGGATTCAGCGGCATGCCTGTGGGAGGTCCGCCGGTGCCGCACCATTGGCGTCCCTGCCGCCTAATTGCCGCCAAAGCCGCGGGACCGGCGGACCTCCCGCAGGCATGCCGCCGAAAGCCGCCTGCCTGCCGCCCTCACAGCGACCGGCAGGCCGTCCCCCACAGCTTGCCGCCCCAGGCACGCGCTTGCTGCGCTGGTGCCTGGAGCTGCCCCTGCCTCCCACCATGTGCACCCTTCCTTGGCCCCAGTCATATCTTACATTAAAACTCAAGAAGCATGATATAAGGCAGCTTTAATTTTTTTAATTAGTAAATTAAATGGCATCATAGTCAAAGTGACTGAAAAATTGATACCTTCTTACCCAACAGATCTGCTTCCTTTATGTACTCATCTCAGTGAAGTAAACAGAGAAAGATATCTTTTAGTGCTTTTTTGCTTCTGTACTTCACTGCAGAGCCAATACAGTTGAGAAAAAGGAGAGCTGGATTCTATTCTGGTTCATGCACCATGAGCAGAATTTTGTTAACAGAAGTGCTGATCCTTCAAACATTTATTACAGCAGTAGTCCTATTGATGTCAGTCAGCAGTGAAGCATCAGCAATGACAGAGCTGCTTCTGACTTCAGTGGGATTACTCAAGATAATTAAACTCTACTCTTGTTAGTAAATTTGCAGGATTTGGTCTTAAATTCCAAATCTGGGATCTTTATTACTGGTAATCATATGAAACAAGAAAAGAACCCCGCTTGGCTTTCAAATTCCAAACTGAGTTAAATAATAAGAATGATGATTGGGCTAGCAGTTAGAAGAAAAATTTTCACTAATAGAGTAAATATGATATGGAAGTAATAGAGAAACTGTAACATCAAATCCCATAATACCATGTTTAACATTATTTTAAAACCTTTTTTTCACGAGAAGATGATTCAGCTCTCAAGTCAGATGTCAGACTCACAAGCATTGCTCTGCCATTACTGATACTTTGCAAAGTCAGGGCAAGATAATAATTGTTGATTTAATACAACGGAGCTACTCATGGTAGAAAGACTATGCCTGGTAGTAAATGTTTGCAGGAATGGATCCTGAACAACTGATAAGGACAGAGCAGCGAAATGTGGATTAACACATGGATGGATTTAAGTGGCATGCTGCAACTTCTACTAAACTTTAACACAGGGGAGGAGTGCTACCCACGACCCATATTACACATAACTGGGGTTAGACTTTCCTCAGCCTAGCCTGAAGGACTCAGCTTGCTCTGAGTCCTAGCATACTCCTTTCCCCTTTCCCCTCTGCAAGGGGGACAGAGAGTGCAGAAGGGTTGGGACCTTGGCCTATGAGGGCAACAAGTTCTAACCTCAGTCTGTGAAGACCACAAGGTGCCACTCTATTCCATGAGCCAAGGCCAATCACTAAAATCCAAGGTCTTTTACTGGCCACAGGGGGTGCCAGCAACTAGTTTGGTCACACCCCACTCAGCCACTAAGTCTGGTATCACAACTCCTGCCCAGTCCATTTCCTCACATTCTATAGCTATATGTTAATGCTTCTATCTGACATCATCTCTGAAAAATTCAGGCCAATTGTAACAGACGCTCACTGCTGGGACTGTCCTTTCACTGCCAGCCCTATCAAGTTTCCCCACCTGTGGAGGCAGGTGAATGCCATTTCTGTGGCTGTCATAAATGCCATTTCTGTGGCTGTCATTTTTTCTTAGCACTGAATAGCCAACACAGCTAACAGGAGCAAAAAGCTAATGTGCTTTGTTACTAAAGAAGTAGATAGGATTCAGACATAACAGATCTGTCAAGTAAACAGTTACTTTTTTCCTGGTTGCTGTGAAGAAGGACTATGATGTATATTCTGTACTAAAACGGACATGTAACCCCTAGATTGTTTTAGGTGACATAGTAGATTCAACAAAAAGCACATTCACTTTTGCATGGCATCTTCCCTCAAGACATGATTAACTCCCTTCTCTTTCCTGAGCCCTAATTGGGATTCCTACAAATTATAGGACAGTTAATAAATCTCTGGGGGAAAAAATGAACTGAAAAAAACCATTAAACAGTTAAAATAACAGCACTAATAAAACACACTCTCACATCACTTAAAAAGAAGTCCTAAATGTAGTCTCTTACTTCTTCCCAAGTGATTAAGTCTTTGTTTTCATCATAGTTTAGTCTGTTAATATATTTTGATGGTCACACAATATTTTTTTCTTTTGCAGGCCCTCCAGTTAATGTCACATGTAACATATTTATAAACAGCTTTGGATCCATTGCAGAGACAACCATGGTAAGGCAACTTAAAGTAACTCAAATAACTGAACAACAAGTTAGGTCTTATTTTAGGTTGGAACTAAACTGAGGAGGAAATCATTTTTGTTGTGGTTAAAATCAATAAATAAATATTTAACTCAATAGTTGGTTTATCTGGTAGAAAATCCATAATTTTACTGTTACCATGCTGAAGAATGCACTTGTGAGGGCCAACAGTGATGCTTTTCATATCTTTGGTGATAGTTGTAATAAAATTTCATAATATGTAATTTTTTTTTACTTTTGAATTAAAATGTTTATGTTCTATGGCATTTTATCTTTCTAATAGCACAATTTATGGCTCAAGTAGCTTTGTTAGTTATATGCTATTGTTCCATTTCATATAACAGATGGGGGCATACATTTTACATGATGAATGTCTTTATTTTCAGTAAAGTATTATTTACTATAAATAAAATGTAGCACCAATGTATAGATTACATTAAAGAAAATCAAATATTTAGAATCCAGTCCACCAGAAAAATATCCATAGCTGCCTGAACACTGAAAGTCTTGGAAGGCTATGGAGGCTGGTGACACAGTAAACTGATCTTTCCAGGTAGAAAGCTACCTTAATGTTGTGGTTTCTGATGGGAAATTGGGAGCACTTTCTATGAATGTGCATCCTAAGCAGATTGAAGAGGTTTCAAGGGCCAGCAGCCAGAGAGACGTATTTGGGTTGAACAGGGGATAATACATTGCTTAATTTGTAATGAAAGAGGTGGGGGGCTCAAGCAATTTTTTTTACTTTCATAACTGACATGGTAAGTCCAGAGGTGCCAGGGCTATAAACTGCCAAGCCTAGAGGTGCCAGGGCTCAACCCTAGCACAAATTAAGCACCACGATTATTTAATCCTTAGTTGCTGTGGAGAAGGACTCCAGGCACATCTCTCTTTAGCAGCTCAGAGGGCGAATTTGGGGGAAGCCATGGGACAGGTAGGCTTATGTCTAGTGAGCAAGCAAACTATACAAATTCATTGGCTAACCTCCATGAGAAAGGAGATGTTCAGCAAACTGCAGCTGCTACTATATACAGTAGTAGTCATGAATTTGGAGGTGGGAAGGACAAGTCCACTCTTCAGGAGCTGTTTGCTTGGGCTTTCCAGAGGAAATGAGAATTTAGCCCTTAAATTTCAGTGAAATTTGGGTTCTGATAGGGTTTTACCTAAAAGAAAAATGTGAGGAAAGAATGAAAAAGTAACTTTGGAAGTCACGCTAATTACATACATAAATTAAAGAAATAGGAAAGTATCATATTACAAACACTGACAGCCATTTAGAGACTATCAAACATTTCTAGAAGATTTACACCTGTTCATGAATTTGACATTTTTCATGTTAGCGTATACACAGAAATGCTTTTATTTAATTTCAGTTCAGAGAGCAGGGTGATCTAATGTACTGATTGCAGGCCTGGGAGCCAAAACCATGTGTATTTAATCTCAGCTAGGTCACTGATTTGCTAGGTGGCCTGGCCAAGTCTATTACGTTCTCTGTGCCTGACTTTTCACACTTGTAGAATGAAGATATAAAAGCAATGTAGCAGAGGTACAGATTGATGTTTTGAAAAGACAGAACACTATGTCATTTCCAATGCAGTTACATACATGCTAATATAATTACAAATATAAATTGCTTTTGATCCACGGACAGAAACACCACTGATAGCTATGGCAATTCTATGAGTAGAGTAAGTGCAGTATTTGGACTTTAGACAAGACAACTTTTATCCAGAAAATAGCCCTAAATTTGGGGCCAGATTTATGCCCTAAGAAATAGTGTTTGCAAAGCACACAATCCTTGGATAGGGTGTGTTTAGGCAAGGGAAGGACCATCACTTCTCCTACCCATAGTGTGCTGGCAGGGTGGTGGGGCAAGGAACTGGCTACACCACTTAACATTTAGCAAGTGATACTGCCTCTATATGCCTCACTGTGCCAGAAGGCATCAGAGCCCCAATCCAGCAAGATACATAAGCATGTGCCTATTTTTAAGAATTGGATCAGGGCCTACATACCTTCTATTGGCATGAGATCTCCTCCTCAGCATTTGGCTTTTGAAAGTATTCCCTGCTCACTGTGCTCCCCTGGCTCTCAAAAGCCAAAATTTAATCTTAATTAAAAACATGGTCAGATTTGTTTCATGTACCTTGGACTCCTAATTCCCATTTTAACCATTTCTTCTCCGTTATTAAGTTACTTTCACATTGTAAAAGGTTATATTCTCCTACCAAAGAAGGTGATACATTTTGCTCTGTTACCACCTTGGAAAGAGGTTAGTTAAAACAATTAAACCTACACATAATATTTAACCTTAGCTTTAATGATCTTTGAAAGACACCTTCTAGATAGGAAAATAGTGATCTATACAATTTGTTCCCAGGCATAATGAGTGCCAATAAATAATACACACTTATCATAGTATGGCATAAATAGCCCAGAGTCGCATACATTATAAATATAGGAAATCCCAAAGCATTGTCAGCATCATGGTATAGTATTTATTAACTTTTTTAGTAATGCCATCTGTAAACATGTTAAGGCGGCACAAAAAAACTGCAACCTAGATTACATAGCAACTGCTGATACTCCATAATACTGGTAATTTGTTTGTAACTTATGCACTGATGCTGCTCAGAGAAGACTTTTACTTATGGTCAGTAGTTGTTGAACTCTGTCAGAATGAAATCAGTCGTTTTAAAATATGACTCACACATGACTTTATTTGTGACCTGTGATGACGAACAGCTCTTAAAAACTAGGACAGTGTTTATACCTTAACATTACAATAGTAACATCTGGCATTTTATTACAAACTGGATTTTTTTTATGCAACTGTGCTGAATAGGAGTCATCTTACAGTATTTTACTATAGTATTTGTTGTTTATTCTGTCCAAGTTACATGAAACACATGTGACCAGTTACCTTCTTCTTGGGATTTGTTTTAAATCACTATGTATACAGACAATTTAGAGGCCTGTAACAACAATGTCCAAAATGTTATTAAAGTATTTCTTTCCAATCTTTACATAAAGGATTTTAAGAGAAAAATTAAATACAAATTAGGGAAGTCATTAATTGCAGGGCCGTCTCTAACTTTTGTGCTGCCCCAAGCAAACAAAAAGAGTGCCACCCTCCATAGCGTCGCCATAACACACACCCTCAGCACCGCAACGCCAACCCCCCCCCCCCCCCCGCCCCCCCCCCCCCCGAACCCCCCCCGCCCCCCCCGGCCCCCAGCCCCCCCCCCCCGCGGAGCGCCGCCGAACTCCCCAGCCCCCCGCGGAGCGTTGCCGAATGCCGTGCTACCGAACCCCCCTGCCGAGCGCCGCCGAACACTCCCCCCCTCCAAGCGCCGCGCTGCTGAACCCTCCCGCCGAGCGCCGCGCTGCCGAACCCCCCTGCCGCCACACACTTCCCGCTGAGTGCCGCGTCGCCAAACACCCCCACCGCCGAGCCGCACTGCCGAACACCCCCCTCTGCGGAGCGCCCTGCCGCACCGCCACCCCCCACCGCGGAGCACCGCTGCTGAATCCCACCCCCCAGCGTCCCCCGTGCGCCCAGCCGCCGAAACAAAAACAACCCACCCCACCCCCAACGCCGCCTGACCGAACCCAAAAAACCCCAATCCTGAGCGCCCCCCCGCCACCCCAAGATTGGCCGCCCCTTACCAGGTGCCGCCCCAAGCACGTGTTGGTCGGCTGGTGCAAGGAGCCAGCCCTGATTAATTGATATCTGAAAGCACCTCTGGAATTTAAACCTCTAAATGTGTTTGAATCTAATGTATTTGTTTTAAAGATATTTGCCTGTGTTTACAGGAATTCTCTTAGCAATGTACCTATAATCGATACTGTATCAATATACTGGAAATCTATATTGTATTTGTGTTGCAGTATCTTTAAGGTGATCAAAATCTTTGAGCTCCCTCTGCTGGCTTGGCTATGTATAACACAAGAGACAACTGGCTTAATTCAGAGGTGATGTGTTAGAAATCAGAAGTCTTCTTCCATATTACTTATACCAGTTTTTACACTAGCACTTTCATTGAGGTTATGTCAGATTTACCCTGGGGTGAAATGAATATCAGGCTTCTTTATACTCAGGTAGGTTCTGCAAGACCAATGGATTCCCTTGGACTGGTATACAAGGGTATCGAAGGAGCCAGAAAGTGTAAGTGAAAGAACTGGGTATGAGTTAAATTAGGCTACCTTGTTACACCTCCAGTTAGTTGCTTTGACTTTACACTCATATCTTCTGCTCCCTTAGAATGTGAGTTTAAGTAATGTGAACTCACATTCCCGTTCATTTCAGTCTCAGCGAGCCAAAATGAAAGGTTATTTTTAAAGGGGGGAGTGTACGTTATATGTAGGTAAGATCAGTCTAACTGAGCCCATATAAGTCTAAGGGACCCTAAGTTGGTGTAACATACATTGGTTTAACAAAGGTCTAAATTATACCAATTGGAACTCACTCTAGACAGACTTTTTCAGATTTGTATGTGAATATGGTCAAATATTGCCATTTGTTTGTGTATTGTTTGTGTATTGGGCCCAGTCCTGGTGCCAGATTCATAGAAATATGCTGATTTACACCAGCTGAGGATTTAGTCCCTGACACATATTACTCATCAAGCCTCCCATGGTAGTAAAATCAACAAGAGCTTTGCCTGGATGGGGGTGGGGGGGCGGGAGAATGAGAAATGAGTAAGGCCTTCCAACCATTGTTTGATTATTTTTTTACATACCCCCACAATTTGTATTCCTTATTGTGTGATCCTGGAATTTTAAAAGTCAAACAATGATAGCAGGAGGCAAAAATATTCTTTCTAGATTTAGAAGCACAAAATATTATAAGCATTTTATAATTAAATCCCATTAATTTGCCTAATTAAATGTCTAAAATCTCATGATTGTAAATTACATTGAATTAAATCAATTTCATTTTATTATATTAAGAGCAGGTGTTTATTTTTAAAA